GGGGTTCCTCAATTTCCACAGAGGTACCCTCTCCCATCTTTGTGGAAAAGTACCCGCCAACAAACTGTGAACACACCTAGTTTAAATTCCCAGCTCCCTGAGGAGCGTGTGCATGGAGTCTCCTCCATGGAGTCTCTAATCCTTCCTTCCAAGTCCTCTGGCCCCTCTAAGGGAGTTTTCCTTTCCCGACTAGCACCCTAGAAAAGTACACACCTAGGCGGTGACTCACTAGACGTGTTTTATAGTGATAACCTGCCCGGGGTAATTCACAGGAAATCCAAGTGTGCCACAAAGCTTCTCCATCCACCCGTTCCTGTAAGGCAAAGTGAAAGACTGGCCCTGTGCTTTGGCGTCTCGTCCACGTTTGATTCCTTTGAAATCTCTGTCTTCGTTCAGCCTAAATAAAATGACGGCCTTTTCCCTCTTCACCGAAGTCTTCCCTCTGCTGCTGCTGAACCTCCTCAGAGACCCAGATGTGTTCCGACCCCTCCGCTCTGGGGTCAGAGAGGGAGTGGGACCGCAGTCCTGCACCACCTGCGGCTGCAGGGAGGGTCTCAGAGAGAAGGGGACCAGGTCAGGGGTGCGAGGTCAGGGGTGCGGCTGCTGTGAACAGCCCGGGTTTAAAGTGTAGGGTCCACACAAATGCAAATTTTTTCAATAAACACTGTAAAATATGTTTTCTGAACTTCCTTAGCATTTTCTTAGTAACATTTCCTTTACTTTAGCTTACTTTATTTCAAGAACACTGCCCTGGCCTGTTTGGCTCAGCGGTTAGAGTGTCAGCCTGTGGACCAATGATCACAGGTTTGATTCTGGCCAAGGGCACGTACCTGGGTTGCAGTTCGTCCCCGGCCCTGGTCGGGGTCATGTGGGAGGAACCAGTCAATGCGTCTCTCTCACGTCGATGTCTCTCTCTCTCCCCCTCTCTTCCTCTCCTTCCCACTATATCTGAAGAAAAATGGAAAAACATCTCGGGCAAGGATTAAAAAAATAAATAAAAGAAAGAAGGAATACTGAATATAATCCATACAAAGTATGTGTCACTCGACTGTTAACGTCGCTGGTGATGCTTCCAGTCCACGGGAGGCATACAGTGGTTCAGCTTGGGGAGAGTCACAAGTTCTGCGCAGATTTTCAACTACACCGAGTTTGGCGCCCCTGATCCCTGTGTTGTTCAAGGGCCAACTGTGTACACTTTGCCGAGGTCACTTGGAAAAAGACTGGCCCTCGTGGTCCAGGATCACACACTTCGCTGGGCTGTAGGAACGGTCCCACCAGGCACACTGGAAAGGCATCAGCTTCTCCTTTACTGTGGGGGAGCTTCCTGTCTGCAGAGCAGGACCACCTGTAGCTTAGAGGGTCTTCCCAGCCAGTCCAGCCCTAAGGTCAAAGGTTGGTAGTAAGCCCCTAGGGGTTTTACCTAGGGGACATTTCCGTCCTACTACCGAGGACCAATGGAATCTGAGTCTCATTCTAGAGGTAGTTTGTTCATTCCTTCATTCACTCATTCACTCACTCACTCACTCATTCACTCACTCACTCACTCACTTTCACTCACTCACTCATTCACTCACTCACTCACTCACTTTCACTCACTCACTCATTCACTCACTCACTCACTCATTCACTCACTCACTCACTCACTTTCACTCACTCACTCACTCATTCACTCACTCACTCACTCATTCACTCACTCACTCACTCACTCACTCATTCACTCATTCACTCACTCATTCACTCATTCACTCACTCACTCATTCACTCACCCACTCACTCATTCACTCACTCACTCACTCACTCATTCACTCACTCACTCACTCACTCACTCACTCATTCACTCATTCACTCACTCATTCACTCATTCACTCACTCATTCACTCATTCACTCACTCACTCATTCACTCACCCACTCACTCATTCACTCACTCACTCACTCACTCACTCATTCACTCACTCACTCATTCACTCACCCACTCACTCATTCACTCACTCACTCACTCATTCACTCACTCACTCACTCACTCATTCACTCACTCACTCACTCACTCATTCACTCACTCACTCATTCACTCACCCACTCACTCATTCACTCACTCACTCACTCACTCATTCACTCACTCACTCACTCACTCACTCACCCACTCATTCACTCACTCACTCACTCATTCACTCACTCACTCACTTATTCTCTCACTCATTCACTCATTCACTCACTCACTCATTCCTTCACTCACTCATTCACCCATTCATTCACTCATTCATTCAATAGATGCCTTGCCATGCGGTGGCCATTCAGGGGTGAGGAACCTCTTTTCTGCCAAGGGCCATTTAGATATTTATGACATCATTTGCGGGCTGTACAGAATGATCAACCTGGTGAGGCGTGTGATGTTAGCAGTACTGGCTTCACGGGCCTTCTACAGGCTGCAGGCCGATGTTCCCCACCCCTGCCTGATGCTGGGGTCACTCTGGAGCACCCCTGATTTCAGGAAGCTTCCATGCTAATACACAAAGACAAACTGTTACATCTCCATTCTTTCTTCCCTAAGCAATGATACTTACTCAGTTACAACAATGTTCGGGCATATTATATCGTAATAGGTTACACTATTACTTTCTTTGTAGAAATGTGAAAGGGATTCTATTCGCGGCGGAAGTCAAACAACATTTACTGACCTTACACACCTTCCTGACCAAACGCGTAGCTCTGCGTGCACTAACGCCAAACATGGAACATGGAAAATAAGACTAAATCCAGCTCAGTGTCTTAGGACTTGGCCGCAGTGTTTAAGGGTCTCTGTCCTGGCCCCTGAAAATTCCCGTCTGGGCGTCAGAACCAGGATCTCACTGCCTCTTTCCCGACTATAAATATCTCTGCGAGCGCCGCCTTTGTAGAAGTGAAAGGAGGAAGAGAAAGGGTCTGTTCTGAGATGGGAGGAAAACCCAGGGCTCGGGCAGAGTCCCTGTTGTCACAGGTCTGTGAAGAGCTGGGGTACTGGGGCGTCCTCACCGCCAGGCCACTGAGCAAGGAACCGGCTGGCTCCCCTCCCCCCAAAAACACACTGTCCGCCTTATTTTTAGAAAAGGATAAATACCTCCTGAAAATAACTTATTCTAACTTACACTTTGTAACTTACATATTTAATGTGCACTTACTGTCCAGTCGTTGGGTGTGGCAGCAAGACATATCCTGAGTAGGGGTCAGCTGACTGGTTACGCACGAATTTTCCTTCACAAACCATAAATCCACCCCACTGCCAGCTACATCCAGCTTGTTCATCTAGCCCCTGGAGTCTGAGAAAGTCCAAATACTTGAGAGGCCAGACCCGTAAAAATAACCCGGACGCAGACTCTTCGTCCCACAAGAACTGCGCCCACCCTCCCCTAGTAAGGGAGAGGCACGGGAGTCTCTCATTTTCCAGGTGGGAGGCGAGACAGAGGATCTGAACGAACTAACGTGTCACGGAAACAACATCGGCCTCCCCCGCTCTGTGTACGTCCACTCCTGCCCGACAGGAGGCGCACGCCGGGGTCTCAGGAGGAGGCAGCCAGACCTTACCTGTGCCGGGCCAGGCAGCACAGTCAGGAGGAAGGGCCTGCGCTCTTGCATCGGACGCCTGGTCTCAGATGTGCACGTCACACCACCCGCTCTGTGACGACCTTGTTAGTCAGTGAATGACGCCACAACTCCCCCGCACTCACCACGGAAATCACACGAATTCGTATGTACAAAGTGCCCAAAGAGGCTGGCTTAAGAGGACAACCGGGGTGGTGATGTCATCACCACCCTCCTCTTATTTCTCAGTAACACGGTGCAGTGGTTTGATGACGACAAGAAGAGCAGAAGCCGAAAAGACAGATTCAAATTCCAGCCTGTCACTATACCCCCCCCTGCTCAGCTTATCACCTGTAAAAACAAGAAAAACACCCACGCAGCGGATGACCGCGCTCGTTCCGTAGTATCTGGCACAGTTGACAGCAGACATACAATGGAGCGAGTCCACATTCTGGCCGACGCCTCCCCTGCACCCCTGCACCCCAACCTCCCAACAGTCCAAGCAGCACTGGACCATGGACTCAGCAATTTCACTGGGGCCATGGGGAGAAGCAACCTGCCCCCAGGAAACACCTTCTGAGAAGACACACACTTCACATAAGGGATAAAATCTGAGCGAAACTAACTGCTACACCAAGGAGTTAAAATAGGAGCCGGGAAAAAGAGAAGAACACCAACGGGAGCCTCTAGCACAGCGGTTCTCAACCTGGGGGTGAACAACCCTTCCACAGGGGTCCCCTAAGACCACCGGAAAACACGTATCTCCGACGGCGATGCATAACAGTAGCAAAATGACAGTTATGAAGTAGCAACGAAAATAATTTTATGGTTGGGGTCCCCAACATGAGGAGCCGTGTTAAGGGGTGGCGGCGTCAGGAAGGCTGAGAACCACTGCTCTAGGGGAAGAAGAAACAGAAGCAGGCAAATCCTTGAAAGAGGAAAATGATACAGTGATGGACGGGAGGGAAGGGATATCCCAAGCAGGGAAACAACTTTGATATTTACTGACCCCCTAAGCATGTTTTCTTTTATTCTTATCCCGACCTCGTGAACTTCACGTGATTTGAAATATTTTCCCTCCAACACCCAGGCTCCGACCACACTGATCAATGTCCATATGCAAAACAGCACCCGGGGCCTCTAGCCCAGAAGGCATCCCTGGGGGACCCGCCTTCTCTGAGGGTCCAGGCAGCACAAACTCCCTGCGTCCTTCCGAAACCCTGGCCACTCCCTTGCATTCAAGTGGGCTCCGTGTCTGCCCAGCATCCTCCGTGCCCCGAGCCAATGCCAGGCTCTGACTTTCCCGCCACTTAATCTGGGGAGGGGATAGAAACCACACACAACAAAATGGGAAATAGATTTTCAATGTAAATTCAGGGAGTTTTGGCACCAGGTAACTACTACCCCAATTAACATACCATTTCCGTCACCAACGTCCCCTCGTGTTCCTCTGTGGTCACAGGTGTCCGCATTCCTGATTCCCTTCGCCGGAGCTCAGTTTAACCTGCAGGTCTGCGTTTAGGTGGAATCACCCTCTATATACCCATTTTGTGTCTGGCTGCTTTGGCTCAATATAATTTTGGTTGTTTTTTGCTCTATTGATTTCAGAGAGAGAGGAAGGAAGAGGGAGAGAGAGAGAGAAACATCGATGAGAGAGACACCTTGATGGGCCCCCTCCTGCATGCCCCCCACTGGGGGTCAGTCAGGCCCACAACCTGGGCATGTGCCCTGACCGGGAATTGAACTGGCGACCTCTGGGTGCAGGGTCGACCCTCAACCACTGAGCATACCAGCCGGGCTCAACATAATGTTTTCTGATTTATCCATATTGTTGACACATATCATTTCTCTTGATTACTGTACCGCAATGAAGTATACACAGTTTGTTTACTCATTTTGATCTGTTGATAAACATTCGGATCCTTCTCAATTTGAGGCTACTATGAGGAAATTGGCTACGAACGTCCTAGGGAAAGTCTCGTGGACACCTGCTTCCATTGTTCCCAGGTAAACGCCTAGGGTCTCAATTACTCCGTCATAAGATTGCAAGTTACGTGTTTAACCTGATGAAGAAGTTACCAAACCATTTTCAGAAGGTGATTTTGTTTCTTTACGCTCCAATCAAACATGTATGAAAGTATTACTTGTTCCATGTCCTTGTCAACAGTTAGTACTGTCAGTTTTTTTATCGCTTTCTGTTTTTTTGCCATTCTAATGGCTGTGAAGCAGCATCTCGTCATTTTAATCTGCATTCCCTAAGGACCCTAAGACGCTGAGCCTCTAGTCGTGTGTTCCTTGCTCTGGTGTCTTCCTTTGCGAATTGCTTGTTCGTGCTTTCTGCCATCCTTAGAAACTGAGTTGTCTCTTATTATAAAGTTATAACAATTCTTTAAGCAGTCTGAGCCCTTGAAATGAGATGTGTACTGTGAATGTTCCCTCCCAGTCCTGTGGCACCTTTCCCTGGGTTCCTGGCATCTGATAAAAACTGGAAGTTTTATGCTTGGATAGGGCCCAGTTTATTAACTTTTTATCGTATGGTTAGGGCATTTGTATTCTGAGACACGGTCGCCTATCCAAGGTCGGAGGATGTTCTGTGTTCTCCTCTGGATCCTAATGATTGTAAGTGTCTAATCGTCTCGAGTCCCTTCTCTGGCCCCCGTCACCTGGGGGTGGGTCTCTGCAGAACCCTGCCCTGTAAACACAGACTCGCTCTGACCCCGTCACCTGGTGGGGGGTCTCTGCAGAACCCTGCCCTGTAAACACAGACTCGCTCTGACCCCGTCACCTGGGGGTGGGTCTCTGCAGAACCCTGACCTGTAAACAGCAGACTCGCTCTGACCCCGTCACCTGGTGGGGGGTCTCTGCAGAACCCTCCCTGTAAAAACAGACTCGCTCTGACCCCGTCACCTGGGGGAGGGTCTCTGCAGAACCCTGACCTGTAAACAGCAGACTCGCTCTGACCCCGTCACCTGGGGGGGGGTCTCTGCAGAACCCTGACCTGCAAACACAGACTCGCTCTGACCCCGTCACCTGGGGGAGGGTCTCTGCAGAACCCTGACCTGTACACACAGACTCGCTCTGACCCCGTCACCTGGTGGGGGGTCTCTGCAGAACCCTCCCTGTAAACACAGACTCGCTCTGACCCCGTCACCTGGTGGGGGGTCTCTGCAGAACCCTGACCTGTAAACACAGACTCGCTCTGACCCCGTCACCTGGTGGGGGGTCTCTGCAGAACTCTCCCCTGTAAACACAGACTCGCTCTGACCCCGTCACCTGGGGGAGGGTCTCTGCAGAACCCTGACCTATAAACACAGACTCGCTCTGACCCCGTCACCTGGGGGAGGGTCACTGCAGAACCCTGACCTGTAAACACAGACTCACTCTGACCCCGTCACCTGGGGGTGGGTCTCTGCAGAACCCTGACCTGTAAACACAGACTCGCTCTGACCCCGTCACCTGGGGGAGGGTCTCTGCAGAACCCTGACCTATAAACACAGACTCGCTCTGACCCCGTCACCTGGGGGTGGGTCTCTGCAGAACCCTGCCCTGTAAACACAGACTCGCTCTGACCCCGTCACCTGGTGGGGGGTCTCTGCAGAACCCTGACCTATAAACACACAGACTCGCTCTGACCCGTCACCTGGGGGAGGGTCTCTGCAGAACCCTGCCCTGTAAACACAGACTCGCTCTGACCCCGTCACCTGGGGGTGGGTCTCTGCAGAACCCTGACCTGTAAACACAGACTCGCTCTGACCCCGTCACCTGGGGGAGGGTCTCTGCAGAACCCTGCCCTGTAAACACAGACTCGCTCTGACCCCGTCACCTGGGGGAGGGTCTCTGCAGAACCCTGCCCTGTAAACACAGACTCGCTCTGACCCCGTCACCTGGTGGGGGGTCTCTGCAGAACCCTGACCTGTAAACACAGACTCGCTCTGACCCCGTCACCTGGGGGTGGGTCTCTGCAGAACCCTGACCTATAAACACAGACTCGCTCTGACCCCGTCACCTGGGGGTGGGTCTCTGCAGAACCCTCCCCTGTAAACACAGACTCGCTCTGACCCCCGTCACCTGGTGGGGGGTCTCTGCAGAACCCTGCCCTGTAAACACAGACTCGCTCTGACCCCGTCACCTGGGGGAGGGTCTCTGCAGAACCCTGCCCTGTAAACACAGACTCGCTCTGACCCCGTCACCTGGGGGTGGGTCTCTGCAGAACCCTGACCTGTAAACACAGACTCGCTCTGACCCCGTCACCTGGGGGTGGGTCTCTGCAGAACCCTGACCTGTAAACACAGACTCGCTCTGACCCCGTCACCTGGTGGGGGGTCTCTGCAGAACCCTGCCCTGTAAACACAGACTCGCTCTGACCCCCGTCACCTGGTGGGGGGTCTCTGCAGAACCCTGCCCTGTAAACACAGACTCGCTCTGACCCCGTCACCTGGGGGAGGGTCTCTGCAGAACCCTGACCTGTAAACACAGACTCGCTCTGACCCCGTCACCTGGGGGAGGGTCTCTGCAGAACCCTGACCTATAAACACAGACTCGCTCTGACCCCGTCACCTGGGGGTGGGTCTCTGCAGAACCCTCCCCTGTAAACACAGACTCGCTCTGACCCCCGTCACCTGGTGGGGGGTCTCTGCAGAACCCTGCCCTGTAAACACAGACTCGCTCTGACCCCGTCACCTGGGGGAGGGTCTCTGCAGAACCCTGCCCTGTAAACACAGACTCGCTCTGACCCCGTCACCTGGGGGTGGGTCTCTGCAGAACCCTGACCTGTAAACACAGACTCGCTCTGACCCCGTCACCTGGGGGTGGGTCTCTGCAGAACCCTGACCTGTAAACACAGACTCGCTCTGACCCCGTCACCTGGTGGGGGGTCTCTGCAGAACCCTGCCCTGTAAACACAGACTCGCTCTGACCCCCGTCACCTGGTGGGGGGTCTCTGCAGAACCCTGCCCTGTAAACACAGACTCGCTCTGACCCCGTCACCTGGGGGAGGGTCTCTGCAGAACCCTGACCTGTAAACACAGACTCGCTCTGACCCCGTCACCTGGGGGAGGGTCTCTGCAGAACCCTGCCCTGTAAACACAGACTCGCTCTGACCCCGTCACCTGCTGGAGGGTCTCTGCAGAACCCTGACCTGTAAACACAGACTCGCTCTGACCCCGTCACCTTGTGGGGGGTCTCTGCAGAACCCTGCCCTGTAAACACAGACTCGCTCTGACCCCGTCACCTGGGGGAGGGTCTCTGCAGAACCCTGACCTGTAAACACAGACTCGCTCTGACCCCGTCACCTGGTGGAGGGTCTCTGCAGAACCCTGACCTGTAAACACAGACTCGCTCTGACCCCGTCACCTGGGGGTGGGTCTCTGCAGAACCCTGACCTGTAAACACAGACTTGCTCTGACCCCGTCACCTGCTGGAGGGTCTCTGCAGAACCCTGACCTGTAAACACAGACTTGCTCTGACCCCGTCACCTGGTGGGGGGTCTCTGCAGAACCCTGCCCTGTAAACACAGACTCGCTCTGACCCCGTCACCTGGGGGAGGGTCTCTGCAGAACCCTGACCTGTAAACACAGACTCGCTCTGACCCCGTCACCTGGTGGAGGGTCTCTGCAGAACCCTGCCCTGTAAACACAGACTCGCTCTGACCCCGTCACCTGGTGGGGGGTCTCTGCAGAACCCTGCCCTGTAAACACAGACTCGCTCTGACCCCGTCACCTGGTGGGGGGTCTCTGCAGAACCCTGACCTGTAAACACAGACTCGCTCTGTCCCCGTCACCTGGTGGGGGGTCTCTGCAGAACCCTGACCTGTAAACACAGATTCGCTCTGACCCCGTCACCTGGGGGTGGGTCTCTGCAGAACCCTGCCCTGTAAACAGCAGACTCGCTCATCAGCGCTGACAGGTAAAGGGACGTGTGTTCTGAGAGCCTGCTGACGGGCCTGTGTGCAGCCTCGGGGACCCAGCTCAGCAAACCTGACAGGAACGAAGTCAGGAGTGTACCCCATCGGAGCAACCCAAAGCTGTCCGTTCAGAGCTGATGCCGAGACGTGTTTCTGACGAGGGCAGGGAGGACCCAGGTCTGATTTCTGTACAAACAGCCGCTGATCCAGCTCAGAAAGCGGAGAACACAGTCACCTTCTTGTCTGAATGTGCAGTAGATCCACCACCACGCCAGTCGTGAGCTGGATTCTCCCTGCTGAATCCGGATCTATGAAAACAGCCAGTGACTGATAGCAGCGCTATTGATAAAAACTGACTTAAAGTGTTAGAAAGATGACTCTCAGGGGACGTATTTTTCTATAGCATAAAACACTGGCATTATTTTACAGGATTTAGATGATTTTGAGAACGTGTATTACTATTTCTTCTGGAGCACAGGTCCACTCAAAACATAAAGAGAATCATTCCTGCTACTCAGATAAAGACTATTATCTCTTGAACCTTAAAATAGAGCATTTCAGCCCTGGCCGGTTTGGCTCAGCAGTTAGAGCGCTGGCCCGAGGAACAGAGAGACCCAGGTTCGGTTCCCCCGCAGGGCACGTACCTCGATTGCAGTTTGTCCCCGGCCCCGGTTGGGGTCGTGTGGGTGGCAG